GTATTTTGGGGTTTAGATAAAAAACTTGCACAAAGAAAACATTTTCCATCTGTTAATTGGTCATTGAGTTATTCAAAGTATCTTAAAGTTTTGGATTCTTTTTATGAATCAACCGAACCTGAATTTACCACTTTAAGAGATAAAACTAAAGAAATTCTTCAAAAGGAAGAAGATCTTTCTGAAATAGTACAACTTGTTGGAAAAGTATGTCTTTCTTTTCTATTATTTTATTTTTCATTAGTTTAGTAATATTTATTTATTTATTTGCTTGTTTTTATTAGAGTGCACTCGGAGAAGCTGATAAGATTACTTTGGAAATAGCAAGGATTATTAAAGATGATTTCTTGCAACAAAATGGATATTCTTCATACGATCGTTTCTGTCCATTTTACAAGGTGACTAAATAGAAAAAAAATTGACTTTAATGAAAAGAGTGGAAAAAATCACTAATTATTTCATTTTCATTTTTCAATTAAAAAAAGACGAATTGGTTACTTAAAAACCTGATCGGATATTACACAGCAGCAACACATGCTGTTGAAGTCACTAATAATGAAATAACATGGTCAAAAATCAGAGAACATACAGCAGATCTTTTATATAAGCTTAGTTCTATGAAATTTGAAGTATGTTTGTTTGTTGATATATTATTTATCAATATATTTATTGAAGATTAATTGATCGATTAATATATATATATATATTGATTCTTTGTTTAGGATCCTGCTGATGGCGAAGATGTTCTTAAGGAACGTTATCAAAAACTTTATAATGAAATTCAAGAAGAATTTAGACATTTGCTTGAATAGAGAAAATTAAAAGAAAAAATTTTATAATGGTTTATTATTACTGATTACTGTTAATTTAATTTATTTATTATTACTATTTATTATTTTAATTTTAATAAACTTGCATATTAAACATTAAAGTATTATTGTGTTATTTTAACCATTAATTGACTGATATATACTATTTCAAAAATTATTTCCTTCGATCTTTTTAACCCTTTTCCGAAACGAATCAATGTATCATGTTCCATCAATTAATCAATCAACACTTACACCTTTAGGTCTCAATTCATCTTTTGCTAACTGTATCTCCTTTTATTAAGAAAAGAAAAAAAAGAATGACTATTATTTAAAATGTACATCTTTTCATCGTCTCTCTCAAATAAAGAATACTTACTGCCATTAATTCATAATAGGCGTTTTCACAATTATTAAATTTAAATAGATGGTATCCAACATTGCCAAGTGAATAACTGCCAAATGATACAAGCACCCACCATGGTAACTAGTAATAATACTATTATTATAACTGATAATGATAAAAGTAATAATATAATACCTACAACAGGTAAAATTTTGTGTTGTATAATTTCAGGCAGGGTAATTATTTCTAAAAATGTGGTGGTCGTAATAGTAAATGTTGTAAAGGAAATGACCCTTTTTCCTAGAGACTAATCATATTTTGTTTTAATAGCCATAATTAAATTAAATATCTAAATCAAACTAATGGTTCTAACTGGGTGGTTGTTTAGGAAATATATTCAAAATATTAATTTTTTGTGTGGAGAGGACCAGATTGCTTGTAATATTTACGTGAAGCAAAAGAAATAGACTTAAAATACAAAAATACAATAAAGAAAATTTTAATTTATTCTGATCAAGGAGAATGTGCAATCTTTCAATAGTCAATTTTGAAGCATTAGATTAAAATATTATCATCATTATCCATCATCTTTTTATTTTCCACAATAGATTAAAAAATACTTTTCTGGAGGTGCTATTTTCCGAGTCTGTCTTTCTATATATTTTATTGGCGCCTTTAAATTTTAAATCCTTTCACGTTCATGTTTCGCATAGTAGATAGATATAGTCAACGAGGCTGTTGCAATTAATAACGATGAAAGCAATTCAGGACCGGTATATTCATATTAATAAAAATATTGTTTATTATAAAATGGCATATATAGAAGAGGTGAAGGTAGTGCGGCGGAAACATTGGGTGATATCGAAATACAGCATTAATTAAAAGAAAAAAAAGAATGGTTGTTTGATGAAAAAGGTCAAATTTAATCAAACTGCCTTTCAATTATAGTTATATAGCAATATAATTATTCTTCATCTTTTCCCGTATTGATAGTGTAGTTATGCATACTGGGATGTAACCATTCAAAGTTTATAAGAAATTCTCTATCTTACTGATTATTACTCGTCATCAAGACCATGTTATTTATGTCGAACAATACCAATGAGTTTAGTTGTTGGATAGTATATATTCATCAAAGCATATTTTATATAGATATATAGATATAAAAAATAAGTCCATTAATTAATTATATAAAATCTAATTAATTAAAAACTGAGAAAAAAGCTGTTTAAATAATCTCTGCCAGGTTTTGGATCTTTTTAAATATTTTTTACTCGATTCTTTTTTAAGTTTTATGTTGATGGTGATTGTTTCTCAGAAAAATTTCCAATCAAGTTTTTTCAAACCGGGCTTTTAACCAGAAAAATTTTTAACCCCGTTCCTGACGAATGTGTTTCAATTCTATTTGTTTCACTATATTGTCAATATGTAAAGATGGTCAAAGTTTAATGTCATGTCACAAGAGAACAGCATACAATGTAGCTAGATGTTGGTCATCCTAAATTGTTGAATGTCCCATTGAAGAATGATAACATTAGTATGAAAAAGATGAATATTTAACAAGTGGGAAAATGTTAGATTTTGAACATGGATTTTTCCCTTCTGGGTTGGACGTAACATGTCCAAATAAATTAAAATGAATTTTTTGTTTTCCATATATTTGTGCAAAAAATTTTATTCATTAAGAATATTAACGCCACCTATATAATAACCACTCATATCATCTGTATTACCACCATCCGTATTATTGACATCTATGTTCATATTATTACCATCCATATTACCATCACCTGTATTATTGCCATCTACACCCGTATTATTACCACCTGTATTATCACCACTTGTATTATTGCCATCTACACCCGTATTATTACCACCTGTATTATCATCACCCGTATTATTGCCATCTACACCCGTATTATTACCACCCGTATTATCATCACTTGTATTATTGCCATCTACACACATATTATTACTACCTGTATTACCATCACCTGTATTATTGCCATCTACACCCGTATTATTACCACCTGTATTATCATCACCCGTATTATTGCCATCTACACCCGTATTATTACCACCTGTATTATCATCACCTGTATTATTACCATTTATACCCATATTATTACCATCTGTATTATCACCACCTGTATTATTACCATCTATACCCGTATTATTACCATCTGTAGTATCACCACCCGTATTATTGCCATCTATATTATTGCTATTGTTATAGTTAGCACCCATCTTAACACAATCAATATCATCATCAATATTACTAGCATCCATATAATCTCCATAAAGATCATCATCACTATCAATATTATTAACATCCATACTATCGTCACCAATATTATTATTGTCAATATGATTATCATCAACATTATCAACATTATCATCATCATCCTTAAGTTTACGATTAAAGTTCAAATCCCTTACATCAACCTCAAGTGTTTCATATAATATTCCTATAGATTTAGGGTAACTTTTATCCAGAATATTTTTCAATTCCTTCTCATAATACTCATCTCTCAATCGATCAAGTTTATCAGCTTTTCTGTCATCAATTTCATTTATTTCATCATCATCTATATCATCAACTGCATCATCTTCTTCTTCTTCTTCACCTTCTATGTTTTTATCATCTTCTATAAAATCTTTTAAACTAACGTAATCTTCCTGTTCATCTACATTAAGAATAATATCAACATCATCTTCTTTTTCTGGTGATGAATTATTGCCATCAATGTTGATAACAGCATCATTTTTGTCATTGCCACTAACATCATTGTTGTAGATTTTGTTGTTGTTGTAACTGTTGAGTAGAATTTCATTATTTATATTACCAACTTTAAGTACATTATGTGAAATTTCTGGTGGTGCTGGCATTGATTGTTTTTCATTGAATTTCAATACATGATCTATATCACTTTTTGATATCTACATATATATATATATATATTTATTATTTAAATATTTTATGAGAATACTATGTGAATATACAAATTTTTATTAATTACACACATATAAATACATAGTTTACATACCAATTTATCTTCATTTGTTAATCTTTTGTATTGGTCACAGATTACCATTAGTTTATAAATTATTGTAGCCAATCGATCTTTTAGAGTATCATAAAGTTTATTAATAGTATCAATATGCACATAAAAATTTTTTTCCTTTCCAGTACATCTTTTTATATAAAAATAAAACTTTAATCAAAAATTATACAATATAAGCCAAGCTTATATGGAAGAAATAAATACCTCTTAATCAAAGTAACAAGAGTCTTACTCTTAAATAAATTCAACTTGCGTTGATCAACTTCGCCATCTTTTATCAATCCATGTTTCACATTAAATAATGCTTTTTTTTCAATTTTTGTAATCCTTTCTGTTTTTTTTTGAAGCTCCTCAACCTGGCTAGCTTCAAACTCTAACCATTCATCACTCATCTCTCTAGCGGCAGGAATATCTTTATGACATACTCGTTCAAGCAGGCCAAGTTCCGAAAAAAGTTTCACTTCTTTCTCATAATAGTCAATTAACTCCATCACTTCTATTGGGTTTTTAGTACCAATCCATTTTGCTATTTCTATCGGACGTTTCTGACTAAAACGAGCCAATGCTTTGAAAAACATGTCTGATTCATATTTGGACCAAACTACATTGCCTACTTTAATATTGTCAGCGTTTGATCGACGTTCAATATTGTTTATTGGTGCTGTATAGATAGATTCGTCATAGTCTAATAGTAAACGATAATAATTTTTTGTACATTGGTCAGAATAATCTAAAGCATAAAATCTTTTTGTTTTTTTTTCTTTTCCCATGTTATTAAAATTCAAATGTCGATCAATAAGTTTTGCGTGATTGACAAAAGCATCATAATAATAACTTTTTTTTTTTTTTTTTTTTTTTTATAAAATAAAGGCAATATCCTGCTCATATAATTTTATTAGAATAAAGTAAATATAATAAAAATAATTCACAAAATAAA